CTTACTCATCCTTTTCTCCCTCTTTAACCTTTTCTGTCTTTAAATGGCCATAGGGGTTTTGTTTTGCATGTTGAATGTGACATTGTCACATGGCAGACTTGCATTTTTCTTTTTTTGAAGCAGTGGAGCAGCCTTTGTTGTGTGGGTGTTTTTCACAATTGAAAATGGAGAACAGTGGAGCTGCAATAAGGTTGAGGTAATCAGAAGAGGCAGCGGGGTGAGGAACTTCCGCACAGCTGATTTGCAGATTTAATCAGTCATAAGTCATTACATCCCATTGTACACAGAATATCAGGCAAATGTATTTACCACACAACAACCGCTGTAACCTTAAACTGTCAGACAATAAAATCACTTAACTAGTACAAGGTCATTTCAGAAGGACCGTGCAAACAGACAGCTTAACTCATGTTATTACACGCTCAGAAACGCACTCAAAAACTCAGTTTTTCAGTATTAAGGACCAAAGGTTTTGTTGGTTATTTGAGCGCAATTTGTTCTGCCATTTAGTGAAGCAGCTACCCATTTGTTGAGGCGTATAAAACATAATAGTGGTCTTGCACAGTCTGATGTCCACTGATGACAGTTTTATGTTGTCAATTGACTGGGTGTTTTAAAAGGGATGGTTCACCCAAAAATGAAAATTGTCATTTACTCTCCCTTGTGTCTTTCCAAACCCATAAGATGTCTGTTTTTCTTGGAACACAAAGATTTTTTTTTATATTCTTTCATCATTTTTGTTCATCCATTGAAATTCCACACAACCAAAACTTTAATGGATCAAAAAAGAAAAAAAAAAAGACATTGTAAAAGTAATCCATATGAATCGGGTGATTTATTGGTTTCATGGACTTTAGAAAAGGCAATCTCCTAGGTTTCATTAAAAATATCTTTATTTGTGTTTCAAAGAGGAACGGAAATCATATATCTTTGGAATGACATGAAGGGTAAGTAATTGATGTTTGGAAGAAGGCTGTTAAAATGAAACTGTCTGAGATTTGTGTTTGTGAGCTTCATGGCATTTTGTCTTAAAAGAACATTTAAAGTACCGCAAATGGTCATACTGGTGTTATATTTTGCCAACAAATTCCTCAAACACAACTATATTCTGCTTTGTTTTCTGCTTTGTTTTTTGTCTCTGAAATATTCAGTGCTTGCTTATTAATTCTGCATGAAGAAGAAACCAAAGTCAAAACATTTTTCCCTAGTTTCTTCAGTGTTGTGTGCAGAAGAGAACACTGCGGTTAATTACAAACCTTCACTTTGTTGCAAAATAAGCTACAGGCATCTAGCCGGGGTAAAAAGATGCACATGAATAAATTCAAAATTATAATACATATTTAAATATTAATATATGAATGCTGTCAATTTTTATGTTTGGAATTGTGCCTTTTGGTTATTTGTAGGCTT